TACATTCATTTTTTGAACGAGTAATTCCAAACAGAGGGAGTACTATATATATCCTTAATGCAGACTGATGGCCTGTGGTGCGTCAAACGAGATCGGCCTTACAGAAGGAAGTGGCGCCATGATACAAGATGCAGTCTTTTGAGGTCGTCGACTAGCGAGCAGTTCGTGCATACCATTGCGACCAGCTGTCATGCGAGGACAGGCAAGAATATTTGGTGCGAACCGATCGAGGAGGGAGGCGGCTTGATGTCGACCCGTCCTTCATCGTACAATTGACGACACCACTCTCTCCAGTATCACCTTATATAATCTAGGCAAACATGTGTTGTGTTGACTACTACTATTCTTTTTCGGGAATACGCCAAAGATGTACCATATTTTTATACGAGGCAGAAGACAATTACAAGAAGCTGCAGACAACGGTTGTAGAACACGCAACACACCCGAGCTAATCCGAAGAAAAGCCTCCGCACACACTACAAACACAACTGCCCTAAGCAGAGCATCAAAGCCGCGTCTCCACCAACACCAATCACCTCAAAGAGCAATAACTTCAACCGGACATCCCTTGTCGACGCAGCATCCACCCTTGAATGCCGAAAAGGAGATGACGAGTGGGTGGCGGGACTCGGTTGATCCCGAGAAAGCCACCGTCTTGAACTCATCGGCATTGACGAACATTGTGCCAAAGAGCCTCAACTCGAACCAACGGCACGCACCAGAGAACCGCATCACAAAGCCTTCAAGCCATGTCTCCACGCATGATGCTCCCAACCGAGGAACGACGCCGAAATGCCGCCATCGTCGGTCCAAGATCTAGGCTTTCGCCCGGGGACAACAATCAAAACGAGAAGGGGGAGATGCCGACACACCGTAGCGATGCCTCCAAGGAGGAAAATGACACCGACCGAAGACGGGCAAGATTTTCATCCGTAACGTCGCCCACCTCCACCCATCGTGATGAATTGAGGCCGAGTTGGCTGTAATGGATCACACCGCCGTCGCAGCAGCACTTCGCCATCATGCATGTAACATTGCAGAACACCGAAGCCCTGCACGGCCGAGGGCACGCACACCATCTTCCAACTCCCGCACGACCGGGGAAGAACATCTCCAGATCACCATCCAGCTCCACCAGGGCCAGGAGCAGCTGGCGCCGCAAGCAGTGGCTGGTCACGCCACGCTGGCGGACGACCATGCTTCGTCCACGGACCGCACGGAGCTCCCTGCTGCTTGCTGGCCTGGGCACACACACTAGCCCAGATCCAGAACGCGTCGTCTCCTTCCCCTCCCACCGCAACACCTACAGCACCACTCCGGCGTCGGTAAGGGTGGGACACACGCCCCCGTCCACCGCTTGCGCAGCCCTCCAGGCCGAGATCCGCCGCCTCCATGACTGGACGCGTCGCCTCCATCGACAGCCACCAGGCGCTCCCAGGCGAGCCGCCGCGCTCCAGCACCTCCACCCGTGGTCGTGCACCACCACACCACGCGCTCCTCGCCAGAGAGATCCCACCGCCCCGCCCGCATGACGCCGCTCCCCCGCGCGTGGGAGACCCGTCGGGGCTCGCAGATTCGCCCGCCGCCTTTGACGGATGGGTCAGCGCCAGTGGCGGCGGCGGCGGCTAGAGGAGCACAAGGAGGGGCGCTCGCGGGGCTAGGGTTGGCGCCTCCGGAACCGTCCGCGCGAGCAGCTCGGGAGGGAGGGGAAAGGGAGATGAGATTCTCTCTCTTTTTTAAAAGAGAGTGTTAGCTATGTTCATGTAGTAGGGTAGAGCGAAGCTTAAGACATCCTCTCCTTCTTGATTCTTCCTATCATAGACAAGTCCCATGCACCCCTTCAAAAACTGTGCTAGATGCACCCACGTGATCATTGAGGTCTCCTCCTATGAAGAGCTTTTTGCCAACAGGTACAATCCTAACTAGCTCCTGTAGCTTGGCCGTCAGGGGGCCCTATGTTCCAGCTACCTAAGCGGAACCTACTAAGCTCAACCAGCTTCCTTACCCTTTGCACTCATCGAGTCAAATGCAAAGACCCTTTCTTATTTTTCACTACACATGTGTACCAATGTAGCTCGCCAAGGATGTTTCGACTCGGTCCTTGCTCACTTATTGTATTTATTCTAGGCCTTTCGGCGATGTGCATTCAGCGAGAGAAGATGTTCTTGTCGACTACAAAGTTGTCTGTGACGAATTCGTCAATCCTAAGATACAGTCCTCTCAAAGGTGCTCATAGGGGCAGGGGTGAGTATAGTGTGTGCGTGTATACATGTATAAGCATTTAAATTTGTATTGTGTTAAGAAAAGGCAGGGAGAGCGAAGAAACAAATAAAACAGGGTCCAAGTGCAAAGTTTCCAGCCACGTCAGCCTCCGTGTACACGCCATGTCACAGTGCAGTGCTGAGTTGGACGAACGTTCCCCCGTCTTTCCGCGGCCGAGACATTCCTTTCCCCTCTCCCCCTCCTCCTAAACCCCCACTATCTCCACCATCTCTCTCTCTCCAAGCTCCACGGCACGGATGGGCGCCGCCGTGGCCGCTCTGCGGCGAACGGCGGCGGGCGAGGAGGCGGCGGAGGAGGAGGAGGAGCAGTGCCGCATCTGCCGGCACCCCGCCGACGCGGACCGCCCGCTGCGCCGCCCCTGCGGCTGCAAGGGCAGCATGCGCTTCGTCCACGACCACTGCCAGATCCGGTGGCTCAAAGCCCGCCGCCAATCCTTGTGCGAGGTACGTACAGCATCTCCATCTCCTCCCCCGCCTCCCCCGACGGATCATGCCCCGAATTTGGTCCGCCCCCTCGTCGCCTACCGCTGACTCCGGCGCCGGATCCGTCCCGCCGCCGTGCTCGCGCTCAGTTCCTGTCGCCGTTCCACTTTGACTCCGCCGCGAAATCTTCGCACGATGATGTGATTCTTTTGGGGGGCATCTGAAGAACATTTCATACTAGCATTTCCTAGGCCGTGCAGTGTCTGACGGTGCGCCCGATTCCTTGGTCAGGTGTGCGGGCACCAGATCTCCATCCGCCCCATCTACGCCGCACGCGCCCCGGCTCCAACCCCGGCCCCGGCGAGGCCCGTGTGCCTGCTCTTAGCGCTGCTCTACCTCGTCCTGACAGCTCTGGTCGCCTGGTCGCTCGCCGGCCTCTGTACATGGCGCCTCGCGCTCGCCAGGAGCCGTGACGAGGCGTTCCGTCTGCTCTCGATCCGCCTCTATGGCCCCGCCGCCCTTGCTCACCTCGCGCTCAAGGCGGAACACACGGTTCGTGCAAACTACGGGGCACGTCTGCGCCGCTGCCAAGATGTCACGCTGCGGGTCCTTCGGTTTTCCTTGTCGGTATATTTCTTCTTCTTGCTCTTCAACCAGTGTAGTACATCTGCTGGTACTTTATATTAGTATTATCGTTTTTATGCTATGGTGATGTGATCCTCCTACATTTTCCCCATACTAGTAAAGCACTAACTAATTCATGTGTTTGTGTTCTGTACTATTCCCTCCGTCCCATAATGTAAGACGTTTTTGCAAGCTAAACGTCTTACATTATGGGACGGAGTAGTAGCATTTAGCACATCATGGCTCCCCACATTATTGGTTTAACGGTCCAGGTTATGGCTAGAAATAGGAAAAAGTAACTGATATCCATATCGAGGAAATTTTTATGAGTGGTTCTACAAAACTATTGCAACTACAAATTAGATGATACTCATTTCCTTACTCTGTCTTCTGCCCTGCTATTGTGCCTTCTTTTAGTTAGCTAGTGCCAATAAATACATTGATCGGAGGACCGTTCCCAAATATAGGTGCAGAATTTTCCTTTAGTTTATTTTCTGACTGGGAAACTGTAGGGGAAGCCCCGACTGTAAATTGTACTACATATGTAAACAAATATAAGATGTTTTAGTGACTTGTGTACAGAGGGAGTATTAAACAAAGACAAACTGTACACGTATATACATGAGAATAAAAGGGAAGGGGCCTAAACAGGGGAGGGGAGTTTACCCAAGATATAAAAGGGCCGGCCCGCTCAGCAGAGTCTAACTTGTTCTGGTTATTGGTCCGGTTACACAACCAAAAGAGTCTTAACTTGTGCCTTTTGGTGCTTTATTCGCTGTGCTGATGCGGTACTTTTTAGGCTAATCCTAATCTGGCTTTATTTACAAGGTTTTGGCTTTGTTCCATGCTTCTGGAATGGATGTTTTACATTTTTTTTCTGCTTTTCTTTTTACATTTCTCCACAAAATTCTAACAGTATGCCTGTGTAATCAGGTGGTAAGGGGTGACATGGCTTTTGCCTGTATATTTGCATTTGCCCCTTTCACACTGGGAAGGTTAATCCTATTGTCCAGAGGTGAAGTCGACTCCTTTGCTTCAACATCTTCTATCCTGCTGACTGGATATGGATTTATCTTGTCACTTGGTGCAACTTTTGCTGCGCTTCATACTATTCATCAATACTTGAGGGGCGAGAGCATTTTCTTCGGAAGTCTGTTTGATGTATTCTTCAGCGGGGTTGTAAAGTTAATCACTGCTGCCAATATTTCTCTTAATCTGATAAGCACAGCTATAATATGCCCATTGCTGTTTGCCTGGTTACTTGATATCTGCACTTCTAAAATGTTTGATGCAACTATCTCTGAAAGGCTCAAACTTCTGTGTGCTTCATCTTATGTTTCTACTGCCCTTTATTGGCTTATTGGATGTGTCCTTCTGGATCTATGCTACACATTCTCTAGACTTCATTCTACGGTATTGATCACATTATATTTGTCGTCTCATCATTTTAATAGTGTATTCAATGCATGTTCAGGGTTATAACGAGTGATATTTTCTGTTTCACTAGATTTTGGGGCCAGCAGTTACCTTCCGTTTTGTCCACCATAATGAAAACATCCGTGAACCATTCTACAAATCTTATTTAAAGAAGCTTCCTGGTCTTTTTGTTGGCATCATCCTTATTGCTATGTTCATTGTTGTTCCTATTCAAATCGCCCGTCGGTTGGCACCCGAGAAGTTCCCAGTAAACATCACGTATGTATTCAGTTTTTGTTCCATATGATTTATTTGCCATTTTTTATGACTCAACACCTTATTTTAATGTCTGTGATCCATAGGTACTTAGTTTTTCCTACAAATGGTGCATCATTTTGGTTAGCACCACAAAACTATGCAGATTCACTTTGTGGTGTTCTTCTACTGAGGTTTCTCATTGGCCGAACACATGCGCTCATATGCCTTGAGTGGCTAGTGAAGGAAGCGATGCAGTATACATTTGGTGCTGAACAGGCTCTTGGCCTGTCAGTTTCAGTGTCTGTCTGGCCCAATGGAGCTTCTGGACACAATTTTGGGAGCAGTGTCTCACCAAAAGACAAGTATGATTACACTACTGAGGCTACAGATAAAAGGTAAACCCCTATATCTACTTTGGTTTCATTAATAAGATGGTCTAGTTATACTTTCTTCTAAGTTCAGTGTTCACTATTGGTTTATGACACTTGGGTTTTGGTGGTTACTGGATACACAGTAGCTTTAGTCTTTTGGCATGTGTCTCTTTGATTCCAATATGCGTCTTCTTCCAAATTATGGTTCCCATGACAGAAATCATTTTTTTTTCTAATCGCATAATTTGTCAGATGTACCTGTCTTCTCATTTATTATCTTAGTAATCAGTTAATTGAAGTTTTTGTAAACGAGATGTTGGCCTTGGAACTTTTTAGTAGGTACTTACCCTTGCATTTGTTTCTCATTGTACCAGGAGATTAGATGCACTCCGTATAATCCCACATGTGATGCTTGGATGGTTGACTGTTGTGGTATTCAATTCAGTGGTACTTATTTTAACAATCTCAGCTGGGCGTGCATTGTTATTTGCCATCCCTCAGCTGGCACTTAGAGGTGGACTGCATTCCAACGGTAATTATTAATTCATATTAGTAGATGATAATTGCAGTATTGGACTTCCTTTGTAAACAAAGTAAACATTTAAACCTTGCTTTGGCTTACTTGTGCAATATTTCCTGCTAGACCTGCTGGCTTTGGTTGCTGGATTTGGCATCATATCAGCTTTTATTGCCGCCTTTAGAGATTCATCTGCCTACATGACTTCTGGGACAAAACACTTTGTAGCTTTGAATCGCTGTATTATTGTGTTCTTATGGGTGAGCAGTTTACTTCAGGTGGTTTCCTTCTTCCTTTTTCTTTTATGATTATAGTAAAATAACTCAAAGCTGTCTGCTCTCAGTTTGTCATCATTCCCTTCCTGATCGGGCTGCTGGTTGATTTATTGCTAATATCACCATTCGCTGGGCCTGATGATGGTGTTCCAGCTCTAGACTTGTTCTACACTTGGTTCCTGGGGTGGCTATTGCTGAAAATCTGGGTAAAATGGGTGAGTTGAAACTTCCCTTGTCGCTCTGTGGCCTCTTTATAGCCTACATTATTATACAGTATGTACCAAACTTAACAATATTAGATATGGAATGATTTGCTAGAATGCACTAATCACAGTGCTAAAGTGAATTATGAAAGAAATCAGGAACGCACAAATTTTCATTTCTAGAGTTCACTTATCGTTGTTATGCCCCTTGTTAAACTCATATAGTCCACCTTTCCACTTGTCTCATATGCCAGTGCCACCCCAAGCACACACACAATTATCATTCTTTCTATTTGCCACTCTTCTGAGGTAGCCTGTAGCTGACTGCCAAATTATGCAAATTAGGTTATACGTAGTATTTAGGTCGAAAACAGGGAAACATTTATTTTAACTGACCAGTCATCTACATGCATAACTTGAAGGTTCATTGGCCATTATCACCATTCCTGGCCTATCTAACCGACGAATCACGGGTCCCGAGGCTTACTCGAGCGAAGCTGGATTGGCCTCGTGGGGCGATGATGCCTCTGCCATGCTTCTTCCGAGATATTTTCGTGCCTGTCGCGACGAACCTCCTCGCCGCTCTGGGTGTTCCCTATGTGCTCGCCGGGGGCGTCTTTCCGAGTCTCGGTTACTCCGCCGCCGTGAACTCGACGGTGCGCCGCTTCGCGTGGCTGGGCTGCATCGGCCTCTGCGTGCTCTGCCATCTCGCCAAGCTGGTCTGGGTCTTGAAACCGCTCGACCGTCTCGCCAAGCTGTTCTGGGTGTTGAGTGCGCTCTGCTATCGCGCCAAGCTGTTCTGGGCCTTCTGCGTCGAAGAACTCCGTGATTCTGTCAGGGATGAGCGTGTAATCATCGGGCAGAGGTTGGAAGACGTCGCCGACGACGGCTGAAGACCAGGAACTCTGTTTCCAGTAGTTTGTAGGAACACGTACGTACGTACTATGGTACAGTTATATAGTAGCACGCGTATGATAGGAATATAGAGGAGTATATGCCACCTTATTGATATACAAGGGTTCAGAGGAGATGATATAAATATCCGGTGAAACTTGTAAATGCGACCATGCAAAAAAAAAAAAACTTGTAAATGTGACGCGGTTTCCCATGCGGAAGCTACAGAGGGTTGTATCGATCTATTAGTTTGACAGTGTCGTTCCTGGGAGTTGCTTGTCTGTAATCCGTTGTCGAACTGAACTAATGTTTGTAAATCTCATGGTTTCACCCCTTTTTTCTGCCAATCGCTGGCTGGATTGTACAGGGTCAGGAGAAATGAGATGGTGTTTGGTTGGCTTGAACACGGCTCGCTTTAGTTTTTGCAATGCCTTCAGTTTCTCTTGAGGCTTTTCAGTAGCAGAAGATATGCTTTGTCACTGTCAAAACGCATACATAGATACATGTTGTTTCGGCAAAATGGCCTGCTTCAGCCAGTCAGCCTGAAATTCCTCATATGTTCGGTCAAGTTTATTTTTTATGGCAACTTTAGTTGGCACACATGAAAAGTTCTGGCTAAAAATAAACTGCACGCGGAATTGCCATGCTTACCAATTAAACTTGACAACCTCGTGCCAACTAAAGTTGCCATAGAAAACGTTTGATTTGCCATGGCAAAATCCGAACATTCTAGACTTATCAGGGTCCAATAATAATGATGCGGATTCTTCTTGGGCCAGCGACCTTAGGCAAGCAAGAAGGGTGGGTACAAAGAATTGGAATTTTGGCAAATCCTAAACGGCGCCTTAAGTGCATGTTTTGGCAATTCCTCTTTGTTTTGATTTTGTTTTAGGGTTTATTTCAGTTTCATTTTTTCTTAAAGGTCAATACCAAAGCCACTAATGTATTCTTTACTAGAAAACTTCATTATTTTGATTTTTTTTAGTTTCTATTTTATTTCTTCTTTATTGGTGATATCAATGCCACTAGTTCATTCCTTTTTAGGAAACTTATCTTTTTTTATTGAAAAATCACTATTATATGCTTATTATTGCATTATATAAAAATGTCATTTTTTTCTGTGTAAATAGTGTGCAATTTTTGAGTGCGGCATTTCAGTGCCCAGGCTCATCTGCACCCGGCCAAAAAAAATTTAAAAACAAATACTAGAAAAATTCAACAATTTCCAAAATGAAATATTCAGGGGGGAGAGATGTAGTCTGCTGCTTGTTTTTTAATACAAAAGAAATTACTGAACAGAAATCTTGTACCGGGCGGAGTGGGTCCGAGCCCGGCCCGTGAAGTTTTCCCCACGTATAGAGTTTCTCATGGACCCGGAGGTCAGCCCACTCAGACTGTCAAAGGGAGGCCCAAAGCTTGGCTTGACTGGGCGACCTAACACGCACGCGCCGCCGCCTGCTCGGCCGCCGTCCACTGCCCGTCGACGTTCCGGCCTCCCCCTCCCCAGGTCCTGTTTGCGAGTGCGCCCCCGGGCCCCAGGCTGCTGGTCTGCTGCCCTACCGTGCTGCCGGCCGGACGCCCCTCGCCGCCGCGCGCCTGCGCTCTTCCCTGCCGGCCTGCCGCCTGCCGCCTGCCGCCTCCCGCACTGGCTCCCCTAACTGGCGCCGTTCTTGGTAATTTCATTTACAGTTTCCTGTTTATTCATTCATATCTTGAACTCAAATTGATACTGTAGCGAATTACCACCAAATAGCATCAGAGTAGAACAGAGAATTCGCAGGGATTAGTTTGATTTCATTCATCAATGTACGATTATAATTTCTCGTGGGAAACAAATGCTATAGACACATGTGCTTAGTATGACATTACCGTGGCGCTAAAAATAAATATATTCTCTCTTTACTGTTTTTCATCTTATTTGCATCTTCTGAGTGGATTTATTTCTATTAGGCCATTTAGGGTTTCTTAGATGTGGGGAAATGTTAGTGCAACACCCATTATCTTGTGTCGAAGTAGATACCCAGATTTGTCTGACTAATTAACCCTCTGTGTAACCAGAGAATTTTCTACATGGGGAAGAAGCCGGGCAGCGCTGGCCCTTCCTCGACGGCATCCAGGCCCATGAACCAGGCCGTGTCGCTCCGCGAGGAGACCTCCGGAAAGACGCAGGCCGACACGCCCTCCCTGCTGAGGGTCCAGCACCTGCAGCGGCTGGGGGCGTGGGCAAGCGGTGAGGCGGGAGTTGGCTCGATCGGAGCGCTGCTGGGCCGCCGCTTCGCCATGGACGCCGAGGCGGCCAGGATCCCCATTGGTGCTTCCACCTTCCTTTGCCAGAGGTGAGAGTTAGAGCTTACTGTGTGGCCTTAAGAATTCTGAATTCGTTTGTCTAGTTATTTGACCGTATCAATCTGACCATTATCTTCGCATTTTAACTTGTGTTATAATTTATCTGTGTTTGACATATGTAGCATACTAGCATTACATTGTTTTCAGACAAATGCTTGTTCTAGCAAAGTAGCATGTCCATTTGAGCTTTCCAGAGCACTACGCATGTTTTGTCTGTGTTAGGTTGACATGATGGTTGTATTGTTGACCTGTTTCTGATAATATTTGATTGGAGTTATAATTATTTGTGTTTGACATGTGCATCATACTAGCGTTACATTGTTTTCGGAAAAATGCTTGTTCTAGCAAAGTAGCATGTCTATATGAGCTTTCCAGAGCAATATGGTAGGTGTTTTCTAGGTTGATATGTTGGTTGTATTGTTGGCCTGTTGCTGATAATCTTTGATTGGAATAAAATGGGAAGGCTTGAGGCTTATTATCCGAGTTTTGATCTTTGGTTCACATGGTCAGAATAATTACTGAGCGAATTAGATGTACCTCAATTTTGTTTTCACTTTTACATGGGAAGGTTATTGGTTGTCCATTTTGCAGGACCAACATTTTACATGTTACATTGGTTCTTTACCGTAATGCACCTTAGCTGATTGTTCTGGATCTTTGTATTGTCAAAATGTGAGCTTACTAGCAAAGAATAACTGGAAATAAAAAACTGTGTTGATAATGTTGTATGAGTATTCTGGCTTAGAGCAAATTACCGCATAGTTTGTCTGTCTTGCTTAACCTTTGAGACCTGTTATAGTGCTACGTATGTATGTATGCATGTATCAATTTATTTTTATGCGCCTTACATTTGTAGTAATGCTGATAAAAACTTTTGTGTGTGAGGAATATTTGGACTTACATATCTGTATTTTTGTGTGTTTAGCTCACACCAGTACATTTTCAGACTCCTTTCAGTTAGCAAGTTTGCAACAAGGTCCTTCAGAATATATGAACTCACAACACTAGCACCAACTCTGTAAAGAACATCTCCAATCTACACTAGGTTTATCAACGGCCAGGTTGAAAGGTCTACGATATTCTTCTACGTTTATAGATTATGTACGTGGTTAATGCTGTTTGTTAGTTGTGCTGCATTTTATTTTCTATTTTTGTACCTGTGTCCATATCAATAAGCCTTATATATATGGACCTCTGAAGAAAGATTATTCAAATATTGCAGATGTGAATCAATCTTACAGCCGGGCTTCAACTGCACAATCCGCATAAAGAACAACAAAAAGAAAGCAAAGCGGCGCAAGAAGTCAAATCCTGGCCAAAACAGTGTTGTCTATGCATGCCATTTCTGTGGAGACCAAAACCTGATACGGGGTAGTGGAAAGGGTATCGTGAAGGGACTGTTGTCATCAAGAAAGCCTGTTAGCACAATGTTGAAAGCAGAAAATGTGAACATGCCAACAGTAATAACTACTAAAAAGGGGATCAAGCATTCTGTGACAGCAGCCTCGCAATTGGAATCACCCAGGTTGAAAATACCCACTCTTGAAAAGGATAAACAAGGTAATGGGCCTAAACCTAATCTTCCTGAAGATTATAAAATGGAGAAAGGGGCAGTTTTCTCAATGGTGGATCGTGGTCAGTCAGCGGCTGCACACAAAGACATCCTGCAGAAAATCGGAGTAGAAAGCGCACATGATAAATGTGTGAATGGAATTGAGCCTGCGGCATCTAAAAATACTAGTGCATGTGAACATGATGTCACTTCTCAGGCAGAATTTCTAGCTGGGTCAAACTTTGTTACTCCTCAGAAGAACAAACTGGCGGAAGTGACTGCGCCTATAGCTTCAGCAGAAGCATTGAAGACAAGAAGTACACTGAACAACAAAGCGCAGAATTGTGGTTCAGCTGCTGGCAAGGCCCCTGGAAGTTATAGCAAGTCAGCTTCGAATACCAAATCTGCGCCAGGTGGTTCTACTCAGCCGGCTGGCAGTTCAAGGAAGCGGGCAAGAAAAGGGTGGACTACGCTGAAGCAGATTGCTGAGAAGGACGAGCTTGAGAGAAAAGAGAAGATGGATAACTTTGTAATCCCGTTCTTCATGCAGTAGGATATCTTTTACAGTTGGCCCCTGCCTGTTGTAAACGTTGGGCTGGAAGAACAGTTAGAGTTTTTGGTGATACTCTTTAGTTATGTACTTTTGCACCAATCATGTTGTGGAAATATAAAGTTGCGAAGGAGTTCAAAATTAAACCGAAGGCAGATACACTAGCAGTCAAGGGAATGAAAGTTGAGGCTTGGATATTCACCTGTGCGGTCGTGCTTGGCTCGAGCTGCCAAGCTGTGAAAGGTAAAGTCATATACTCTGTTCCGTTCTTGGCTGAAGGGTTAACAATCCGGAGTTTGTTCTCTGTATACAGGTTTTTGGGCCACAGTGCCACAATTTCTCCAGAGTTTGTTCTCTGTGTACATTTCGGTTGCTAATTGAGTATTCCATTATTTGTGTCAGACACCATCGCAGGGGCCATGCTATGGACTAGAGCCCACCACTCTCTGTTAGTACTTGGTAACATCTTCATACTCATATTTTTGGCCCTTCTTTAGCTGCTCTGGTACTAATCTATATAGCACCCATCTTCAGTTCTTGGGGCATCTCCTGCTTGAATCCTGTAGACTCGGCACCAACCCAATGCTCGTGTCTAAGCCGAGGGCGCCACGTGGAGCCTGCCGCCATGGGCTATCGTTATGCGATTAATTCACAGAGGCAAAGATACAACTTTCTTTGATCCATGATATTGTCGCTATGCCATGATTTGATGAGGATTCTTATTCTTTGATGGAATGATGCTGGAACTGCCGCTGCTATTGGCATGATCTAGCTTTGAGGTGCCCTGCTTTGTGTGTTGGCTTGATCTAGCTTCTGCCAGATAAAAAGATAACCGCATAATTTTGATCCAAATCTTGACGCTCTCAAGTCAAGAGGACAATTACACCGGCAGTGTGCTGCATTTAGTCGTGCCGTGCGTGTATCGTGCAGAACTCTAGGTTTAGAGAATTGATCCCAGCCGATCATTAAGTAGAGCAGACTTTACAAGTGCATCCTGTTAAAGTAAAGATAAGAAAGAATGTCAGCAGTGCCCACTGCTTTACAAGTGTTCATGCTTTGATTAGGATAAGAGAAAAATTCACTACAGGTCCATTTACTTGCATTGGCGTTAGTTTTAGTCTTTGTGGTTACAAATACCCGCAATACGGTCACCAAACTTGATTTAAGAGGTCATCTACTGTCCATTATACGGTTTGCTATATGTATTCGCTGATCTGGTCTCAGTCAACTCAAGCCACGCGGGCGCTGACTGCCACGTGGCCGTCCCCACACTCGTCCTCCTGAATATGATTGAAACCAGGGGCTTTTTTGTAAAATCGCCTGAAATATAAACCTGCCCCCCACCATGGCGATGTATAAGGTGGAGGTTCTTGCCGATGTGCGGGTTCTTCAGCCCGTTGTCGCGCAGCAGCACCGGCGTAAGGAGCGAGCCGCCCTTTGCGACGGTCACCTTGGCGCGAACCAACGGCTACCGGTGCACATCACGGTCGGCATGGAGCGCAAGAACGGCGCAGGCCTCAGGCCTCTCGCCGCGGAGAGGTCGCGCGCCAGGCGGTGCAACGAGCAGAGCAGGTCTCGGGCTCGGCGCCCACTCCTTGCCGGCGAGCTTGGCACTCCAGTAGTAGAGGCCGCCGGAGGTCGGGTACGCGGAGCAGATCTCGGCCATGGACAGGGCGACAGACATGGCGTCCACTACTCCACTTTCAAGTTCAAGAAGTCTGTCTCCTCGTCGACCAAGTTGGTTGTGATCAACGGAGCCTCATGCTCAGCTCCACGGCAGCCGGCGGCTCCGCGGGCGCCGGAATGGCCCTGGTGGCATTCATGTCCTACTCCTCGACCTCTGGCTCCGGACTGGACGGCTCCGGCGATGGCGGCGGTAGCCTCTGCTGCGACTCGGCGCCGCGCCTCCCGCAGATGAACTCGTCCATGAGCTCTAGCTTCTTCTGCGTGATGACCTCCACCTCCGGCACGTCGGACTGGCGGCAGACGTAGGCGTCCTTGCACTACGCGATCTGCTTGGCGAGGCCGCAGAAGACTCCGTGCACGCGCTCGCAGTCCGCGGTCTCCATGTCCGGGAACTGCTCGATGAGCACGGCGGCTGGGGTTGTCGGCGCGGCCGACGAAGTCGTCACGGAGCGCGTCCTTGCCCATGACGATGACCTCGAGCTAACTGGCCGGCAGGTGGGCGCCGGAGAAGGCAAACGTCTGCCACCACACCGGGTTGTGCCATCGCCAGCAGCACCCTCGGCGACGCCAAGACCGTACGTGTGCCACTAGCTAGCTTCTCTGATCCATCCATCCATTAGCCTCACAATTAATCCTTCCGTAAAATCTGCAGCTTTCGTTGCCCGGCAATGCTACACGTGCAAACGATTTACAGGCTTTTACAGAATGGTTAACCTTGATTGGTCAATAGGTGAGCGGGGCGGCCCACCTCCTGAAAATCAGGGGGGGAGAGAGGTTTGTGATTGGTTGTTAGATAGAAGGAGCGTGTAAAAGCGTGTAAGTCTTTGTATGTCTAGCATTTTTGGGCCGTCAAGGGGGTTTTGCTTCAGTTTCCTGTGTGAGTACCAAACAAGAGGAATTTGCAATTTTTGGTTCTCAACACTTGGACAATTTATTCAGACTTAACAGTCTTCAGTTAAGTTCAGGATTTTCTGCAGCTCCGATTCCCAAGCATGAGAAATTAGTATTGTTGGTTCTGAACAATTTCAGCGCCCAGCACCTGTACCCGCCGGCGCACCCGCCGCTCTAGAGTCTAGACCCCCATGCAGCGGCAGGGGCAGCGTGGACGACAACCACCAACGGCAGTGGAGGTGCGACTGGGAGCGCGACTACTCCAGCCTGAAACCGCGTGACGCCCTTGGAGTTGTCGAGCTTCACCTCCACGTACGGGTCCAGCGCGCCGGCCGGTGAGGTCCATGCTGGGCAAGTCGTGCGCCTTGACGACGCTCTCACGTACAGGTACTGCATCGGCTGCACCATGTCTTATGTGGTTGCGATCTTTGCCGTCCCCGCGCGCGCCCCCATCATGGCCGGCAGCGGGGGCCGTACTGCTACTGCGAGCCTGGAGCCGATGCCTGGGCAGCGCCGGGGGGAGGGGGGTGGAGGCGCGACACGACCATCGTCTGCCATGGCGTGGAGCGTGAGGCTCATTGCCACGGCCTGACGAGGCCGGCACGGAGCGGAACTCGCGTTTGTCGTGGCTGCTCTTCCCCTTGGACTCTGCCGCCGGCCCGCCAAAAGCAGAAGCAGCTTCGGTCCCTGCTGGCGCCTCGCCGGAGAAGACGATCCTGACCATCCTCTCGGGGTCTAAGCTGGCGGCGGCGGGCTGGGAAGGCTACCGTTTCCATCGCTGGAGCAGCAACATGGTCCTGCGCCACGCGATCACCGTCCCGCTCGCCAACGCCGGAGATGACGAACCACCTCGGCAGCGACGACGAACCAGGGGAGAAGGGAAAAGGGAGAAGCAGGGGAGTGGCTCGGTCCGACCCGACCAGGTGGCTTGAGTTGGAGAGTAAACTTGCTCTCTTGTATTGATTATGCCACATACATCAGTGTAACATATATACACCCCATGGATGAGGCACGCAGGCCGGGGGAATTAGTTGAGATCCTACAATCTAGGAAGTAGTAGTGCGCGCTACATACATACATGTTAACACCCCCCGCAGCTGGAACGCCGTTTGGAAGAACGTTCAAGCTGGATCGAAACTCAGTGAAGACCTGTGAAGGAAGCCCCTTGGTGAACAAGTCTGCAAACTGTGAACTGGAGGGAACATGGAGAACTCGTACTTCGCCGAGTGCCACGCGATCACGGACGAAGTGGAGATCAATCTCGATGTGTTTAGTGTGCTGATGCTGAACTGGATTAGAAGATAGGTAGGATGCACTGATGTTGTCACAATAGACAATGGTGGCTCGAGAAGGGGGGCGCCGGAGTTCGTGGAGAAGTTGGCGGACCCAACAGGATTCGGCAACGCAGTTGGCGACGCCGCGGTATTCGGCCTCGGCGCTGGAACGGGAAACTGTCGGCTGGCGTTTGGAGGACCAGGATATCAAGCTGTTGCCGAGAAAGACACAAAACCCCGACGTGGATTTTCACTTGTCAGGGCAACCCGCCCAATCGGCGTCGGTATAGGCCACGAGATCAAGATAGGATGACCTGTAGAGCTGAAGGCCAAAGTGGGTGGTACCCCCAAGATAGCGAAGAACACGCTTGATGAGTTGCATGTGCGTATCCCGTGGTTGATGCATGAACAGACAAATTTGTTGCACCGCATATGAGATGTCCGGTCGTGTAAGAGTGAGATACTGCAAGGCACCGGCAATGTTGCGATAGGTGGTTGGGTTGGAAAGGGGGAGGCCAGCGGTAGCAAATAGTTTGGCGGTGGTGTCGATGGGGGTGGACACTGGCTTGCAGTTTAGCATGTGAGCGCGATCCAAAACCTCAAGTGTGTATTGTTGCTGACTCAAGAAGAGGCCGGATGTGTTGGGTGTGACATTAATGCCAAGGAAGTGATGGAGCTCACCGAGGTCTGTCATGGAAAACTCGGCTTTGAGTGAGTGTATGATGGAGTGAAGGATATGCGGTGTGCTAGCGGTGAGAATGATGTCATCAACGTAGACTAGGAGGTAAGCAATGGAGGACCCATGGGACATAATGAAGAGGGAGGAATCACTCTTGGAGGCATGAAAACCAAGAGATAAGAGGAAGGCCTTAAATCGATGAAACCACGTGCGTGGGGCTTGTTTCAAGCCGTAGAGAGACTTACGGAGGAGACAAACGTGATCCGGGTGAGATGTGTCTATGAAACCGGATGGTTGGGCACAATAGACTGTCTCCTTGAGCTCTCCATGAAGAAATGCGTTCTTGACATCAAGTTGATGTATAGGCCAAGAACCAGAAGTGGCGATGCTGAGAACCACACGGATCGTGGCCGGTTTCATCACCGGACTAAAGGTCTCCTCATAGTCCACGCCTTCCTTTTGAGTGAGGCCTC